AGAGAGAAAGAGAAAGAAAGAAAGAAAGAAAGAAAGAAAGAAAGAAAGAAAGAAAGAAAGAAAGAAAGAAAGAAAGAAAGGAGAAAGAGGGTTAATCTCCCCTCTGGTGAAAAGATTCAAAAAATTAATTTTTCAAATAATCACAGGATGAGCTTACCTAACCCAAAATTTGAAATCTGAAATTCTCCAAAATCTAAAATATTCTGAAATATGAGACATTCTGAATGCCAACAGGACACCCTAATTTCAGATTTTCATATTATAGACAATCAATTGGTAAAGTCTATGCAAATATTCAAAAATTCAAAAATCTCCGCAACTAGAAACACTTCTGATTCAAAAAGGGTTAGTGATAATTTTTTGGGTTAGTGATAATCTATATTTATACTTGTTTTCTCATTTTAAATGACTTCAGTACTAGCACTATATTTTAAAAGCCTTTTGTGATTTTCCATTACATCTAACTTCATCCCGGCCCATACTATCGTCTCTCAATACATACTCGGTGGTCCAATGATTTGGTAAAGGTCTTCTGTCATATTTTAGAAAGATTTTGCATGGAATTTTATGAATCCCACTGGCCACCCAAAGGAAAGACATACAGGAAATGAACTGGGGAATGTTGGGTTTTATAAAATTTATCACCCAGTAGTTCTTCTTTTGTTCTTAGATGGATTTCACCTCACATTAATGATTTGTTGGAGAATAAAGAAGAAACACTTTTCTGCCTTATAGTTTTCACCTCTCTTGCCTCTAGTAGAAGTTAATTTTTGAGTGGACACACCGCTCATGTGGGAAAGCCTCAATGTCCAGGGAGTGACTAAAGATGAGAACAGAGCTTGAGTGGATGCCCACTCAACTACATTTCCCCAAGAGCAGGCACTCAAAATCCTTCTGGTTTATGTTTTGTATCCAAAGATACAATGTTTTCATATCTATCTTAAAGTTTGTTTCTAATTTATGCAGACTCATAGAACTTTAAAATTATAAAAGACCATGGAAGTCATCTAATTTGTCCCTTTTTGCATACATGGTAAGTAATTTCTTTTTGGACAAGGTTATACATTCCATTTCTAGAAAAGTCTAGTTACTTCTTCCTTAAAGTTTTACATAACCACCCTATATGTGCACGATAGCTATATGGGATAAGATTTATTGCATTTTAAGTACTTGGTCCTTTGAGTATTAAAGATGTTATTGTTACCCTGGATTCTTCTCTTTTCCAGATAAAAGATCCCCAGTCCTTTAAATCATGCCCCCTTCAACAAGATTTTCAGACTTTTTTCCCATATAGGTTTCCTTTCTCTATGTAAAAGTTTAGTCCAGGCTTCTGCCAGAGTTTTTCTAACTCTTTACATTGAAAATTTTAAAAGAGTTATGCAATGAGCTCTCACACCCTCTTCCTAGATTCAATAGTTATTAACTTTTTACTTTTACTGATTTCTTTTTTTCTATATACAAACACATATATGCACAGGCAAAACTTTAATTCATTACGTTTACTGGTACATTTTAGGTATACAATATGATGACATTCATCATTGGGAATTTGTACCTGTTGTGCCCAGATTTCGAGGTCCCCAAAGACCACCAAGGAGCCAATTCTGATGTAAACACACGAGGGTCGTTTATTCAAGCTCGAGCAGGGACTCCCAACCGTCACCGCCGCAGCGGGTCAAGATTGAGAGCCCTGACTCCAAATCAGCAGGGGTTTTTATAGTAGTTACAGCAAGGTTCTAGATTGGCAATTAAACCTGATTGGTTGTGCCTTGCGCACCCAAGCTGCAAACGGTTACACCTGGGACATTGGGGCAGCTGTTGCCAGGGGAAGGCTGAACACTTATCACAAGCAGGTGGGCAAAGTACATCTTGTGGTTTTAGGTCTCACAGTACCCTCACATGACATATCTTGATTCCTATTTTTTCCCTATTCCCTTGCCCTCCCTTCAACCCCTCCACCCCTCCCTATTTACAAAGACTTTGTTTCCATTTTTTCCTTTCCCTTCTTTCCTTTCCCCTACCCCTCACACATCCCCTTCCCCTTCCCCTTTGAACTTTTTCTTCCTATTTCACATTATCTATTATACATTTTGATCCTTATTTACACTTTCAGTTTCTCACACCAGAGAAACTATTCAGTATTTACATATGTGTGTCCTATTTATTTCACTTAGCAGGAAGAGAGGCTAGGTAGAACTCTTGAAGACAATGGCATAGAAAAAGACTTCATGAACAAAACCTCAGTCGCATGTGAACTAGCATAAAGAATCAACTGGGATCTCATTTTACTAAAAAGCCTCTGCACAGCAAGAGAAACCAGCAACAGAGTAATGAGACAACCCACATTGTGGGGAAAAAATTTTACCAGCTGTTCCTCAGACAAAGGTTCACTATCTAGAATATATAAAGAACTTATAAAAATTGGACCTCCCGAATTTAAAGACCCAATCCAGAAATGGGCATCTGAAATGAACAGACATTTCTCAGACAAAGAAGCAGAAACAGTAAATAAACATTTTTTAAAAGGTAAAGGCATTATGATAGTTCATGCCATAATATTTCAGCATGGCTCTCTTAAGAGTACAGATATTCTCCCACAATATTATAATCAAACTGAAGAAGTCTCAAAAATTCTGTTATATTATCTGATGTCCAATCTGTATCCAATTTCCTCTTATTGTTTTCAGTCATTTTATAAGTTGTAACAAATCCCTTGACATTTATAAGCTTCAGTTTCCTAATTTATAATATGAGGTTAACAAAATTACAATGTAAAGTAGTTGTAAAGTTTCAAAATGTCATTCATTCATTCAAAAAAGATTTATAGAGCACCTGCTGTAGGAACCAGGTTCTGCTCCATAGACTAACAAAATGGTGATGAGATAGGTATAGTCATTGCCATCACTTCATCAAGGGAAATCTGACAATCTTAAGAGGTCAAGAGAGGATTTCTCATAATTCAGATTAGCAGCTGGGTGGTGAGTCAGAGAAGTCAGCTAAGATATATGAAGTCCTCAAAAGATATATGTTTTATTTGAATTCAAAATTAAGTGATATGTATTACTAATCTTTCAGCCACAGCTCCTCTTTGAGCATGAGAGTGTGCTGATTGGAAATCAGTATCAACTTCCTTGCAAAAATCAGACCCAGATGCAGCATCTTCGACTCACAGAATGTAACCGAAACACAGCTGGTAGAAGACAACACCACCTCCCTCACCTTCACCACCCATAAGGCAAGAGACTAGAGAAATCTTCCCTTGAAAAACTAAACCATTCCTAAGAAACAACTGGCATGCAGTCGGTAGTCTCTTGATGTCTCTCAGCCACATGGTTAGCTCTGTAATAAAGTCCACAATCAAAAACCTCACCAACACATAGACACACACACACACATTCCAACCAGCTTTCAATCCAGTACTTCACTGTACATATGAATAGACAATATGGGATGATAAGTGCCTGTAAAGACACTTTAGTGAGAAAAATGACTTCTATTCCAAAGACTCCACCGCCCAAAAAAGGATCTTGATGAAATGCAGACAATGAGGAAACATTCAAGCCTAAACAAAAAAAAAATTGCAATTAAAATTATCACAGAGCTTACATGATGCATCCATTAAAAAAAGCACAGGATGATTTTTTCCTTAAATCAAACAACAAAGAGGAGCTCTTAGAATTTAGAAATATGACAATGGGATAGAATACTCATACTTAATAAAAGGAATGGGAAAATCAGCCAAGGAAATCCACCCAACAAGAAAACCAAAAAGGAAAGAGTTAAGAAACAGGAGAGAACATAGAAAATTAGAAAACTGACAAAGGAGGTCCCATATCTGACTATTTGAGTTCTAAAAACAGATAATTAGATGAGTATAAATTATAATAGAAATAATGTTAATAAAAGGTTTGCAAAATTAAGAGCATAAGACTCAAGTTTCAAAAGGCCCATCAAACACCCATCACGATAAATTTTCTTTTCTTTTTTTTTTTTTTTGGTACTGGAGATCGAACTCGGGTCCTTGCACTTGCGTAGCAGCCGGCGAAACCACTGAGCTAAATCCCCGGCCCACGATAAACCTTAAAACCTACAAATTACATTATCATGGAGTCAGGGAATAGCAGATATAAAGAGAAGTCATAATTGCATTCAACAGCACAGTATGTGATTTTCTTCAAAACAATACTGGATAAGAGAGAAAGCAGACCAATACTTATAAAATTCTGCCAGAAAATTATTTTAACCTTTATTTCTCCTATCAAACAAACTGGGCATGCTTGTATAAAAGGACAATAACATGTATGACTATGCAAGGCCAAAAATTATTTCTAATGAGTGTTTGTTAAGGAAGCCACTCTGGAGCAGCAAAAAGAGGAGAAGATACATTGAGGAGGAAATCGAGAGAAGGCTTGGAATCCACAAAACAGAAGATGCTATTTCTATATCACCTATGTGGAGATATGAGTTGTTTTCCTATGCAAGTCAGCCGTCAAAGGAAATCTCGATAATCTGTGTACCAAGCCTAGTCATTAGCTTGTTTAGGTCACAGAAGGCAAATAAATGGCAACTGTGGGAGCAGTGGGGTAGGGACAAAAGAGTGAGTGCAACAGGATTTTGAATGTCTGCACCATCCTTTTCTAGATGGTTGGCAGACATGTTGAACCATTTAGAAAAAAATACAGAATGATACTTTGAAATTTTTAAAATGTAAATCCAGCACAATTATTAATTATGAGATTAAAAGTATACCGCAGAAAATCCTAGAAGAGCACTTGGTTCAACTATAAACCAAGCTTAAAAACTCATCATAATGAAAATTCTAACTACTGGCTTAACCAAACACTGTCATATAATTCTAAGAAACAGGAGAGGGGAGTGTAAAATGGAGTGAGAGGAAGGGTCCTCAATCCTCATGACAGGAAGTCAGGAACTATTAACTAAAATCAATCCAAAAAAGACAGTAAAGACATATTGTTTAGATATGTAGAAAAAAAAGTATCAAAAGAATCAGCTAAAGTTGTCAAAAGTTGCTGCCTCTGAGAGCCACCTACAAGGGTGCCCAGTGTATTATGTATTAATCAGAATTATCTGCAGTTGCCAGTGACAGAAACTCAAACTAATTTAAGCAGAAAGAAGAAAGCATTTGCTTATGTAGCTTAAAAAGTCATGGATTAAGATAGGTGAAAATAGTACTCATCCACTCTTCTGGGTCTCTTCTTGTTCCAAATGAATTTTTGGATTGTTTTCTCAAGGTTCGTGAATGAAGTATGCTGCTGGGATCTCAATTGGAATTGCATTGAATCTATATAGCAGTTTTGGAAGTATGGCCATTTTCACTATATTAATACTTCCTACCCAGAAGCAGATGTCTGTCCATTTTCTGATATCATCTTCAATCTCTCTTTTCAGAGTGCTATAGTTTTCAGAGAAGAGGTCTTTGATTTCTTTCGTTAGGTTGATTCCTAGGTATTTCAGTTTTTTTGGATGCTATTGTGAAAGGAATTATTTGCCTGATTTCTCTCTCAGTGAGTCTGTCATTCATGTAGAGGAAAGCCCATCAACTGGAGACTGGATAAAGAAAATGTGTTTTTTAATAACATAGAGTACTACTCAGCCATAAAAAATGAGAAATTAGAGACATTTATAGCTAAATGGATGCACATTGAGGCGATACTCTTAAGTGAAATAAATAGGACACACATGTATAAATACCGAATAGTTTCTCTGGTGTGAGAAACTGAAAGTGTAAATAAGGACTAAATGTATAATAGGTCATGTGAAATAGGAAGAAAAGGGGCAAAGGGGAAGGAAGTGGGAGGGCTAGGAGAAAGGATAGAAGGGAATGGGATTAATATGAGAAAATGGAAAAATAGGTACAAAATCTTTGTAAATAGGGAGGAATGGAGGGGTTGAAGGGAGGGCTGGGCAAGGGTGAAAAATAAGAACCAACAGAGACTATGTAAAGGTGCAAATTTCCAATGATGAATGTCATTATATTGTATACCTAAAATATACCAAGGATTAGAATGAATAATTGATAAAGTAAAATAAGGAAAAAAAGGTCCAAAGGGGTAGGGGTAGTGGGAGGGGCAGGGGAAAGGAAAGAAGGGAAAGGAAAAATGATGAGAAATGGAACAAATGGAAATAAAGTCTTTGTAAATAAGGAACGGTGGAGGGGGTGAAGGGAGGGCTAGGAATGGGGAAAAAATGAGAACCAAGATACATCATGTAAAGGTACAATTCCCAATGAGAAATGTAAATGTGTTGTATACCTAAAATGTACCAATAAAAGAATTTAAGAAAAAAATAAATAAATAATAATGCTCATCGGAAGTCTGCAAGAAATTGTCTTATTCTCCATCTCTCAGTCCTGTTTCCTTCCCCAGATTGGTTTAATTTCCAAGAAAGCTTTCTCTACATGGGACCAAGATGGCCTCCTCAGCTCAGACTCTCAGGCCTTTTGCACCTAGGACTCTAAGAATGAAACAAAGCCTCAGTCTTTATTCATCCAGCAAAAACCCCAGAATCGACTCTCACTAATTTGGATTTGGCCCTATTTCCAACCTTGAAGCATCTCTTTGGTCAGGGGAATCAATGCTATAATTAGCCAGGTCTGTGTCAC